TATAGCAATTGTTACATGAAAATAATGATTATTTTGAAGTTTACAATAGTCTCCCTTCACAAGTTTTAGTATTCATTTTCTCTCAATGAATGTAAGCCTCGGGGCTTTTAATAACTAAATTTGTTTAAAAAGAAAGCTAGCATTTTGTTGATGAGTTATACTACATATTAAACATGTCATACTAAACTCAGCAGAATGAATTGTTAACACAAAACAATACAGCTGTATATATGAATGAATGGAAGAAATACAAACCCATGTCTTCGAAATATGGCTGACTGCACCCATTCACTCCACAGCCCTTATTATATCATGATTACATCCTATTACATCACATTGTCAAAAAATAGAACTTCCTCTAAACCGGGACTAACCTCTCGAACACGAACACGACCGTCGCGAGAGACTTGGTTCCCCGCGAGCGAAAACAACGTCAGAAAACCAGAAACAGAATCACAAACTGGAATAATGTCTGTTGAGAGAATAAAAAACGTGGTATATGCTACGCCTGCGCGCATTTCAACTGTTACAACATAGCATGATGCGCTCACAACACAGACAAGGAACACGGGGACTACTGGCCCGCGGCGGCGACTTCACACTCTGCAGGAATACTATTACGAGAAAGACACCGTGGCCGAGGGAGGGCGGGGCGGGGACGGGACGAGATACGGGCGGGTGGGCGTGGGGGGCGAGGCGAGGCGCCCGCCAGCTCAGCCTCGGAAGCGGTTGAGGATATTCCACGGGTTGAGGATCTTCATGAGGCCCATGATGGGCTCCTGGATGCCCTTCATGAGGAAGTCCGTGGGCCGCATGAGGTCGTGAGCGTCGTGCTCCACGGACAGGTACTCGTCGCCGTGGGGGCCGCCCAGGATGGGGGGTGCGGGGCCATCATCATGGGGTGGTGGGGGGGCATGTGGTGGCCGCCGGGGCCCATGATGGGGTGGCCGCCCGACGCCAGGCTGTTGGTGATGGGCGGGCCCGGGGGCGGCAGCTGCAGGAAGCTCGAGGTGGAGGGCGAGCCGGCGGCGGCGTCCTTCGAGCAGGACCTCTGCTGCGGCGCCGAGTCCGCCTCTGCAAGGACGAGCAACCGAGTCAATTGGGGAAAGGCAAGGCCGGGGCGCGCGCGCACTCACGCACACGCTCAATTCACTCAACACAACACACATGCAACCCCTCCCCACACAGACGCACCCCCCCTAACAGATGCACCCCCCACCCCCACCCTCTCCCCTCCACCACATACATACCCCCCCACACACACACTGATACCCCCCCACACCCTTCCACACCCTCCGTGTCTCCCACCCCTTCCCCCCCTGACAGACACACAAACTTTCTCACTTTCCCCCACCTCTTTCCCTTTCCCTTTCCCTTCTATCCTTTTCCTCACTTTCCTCCTATCTTATCCCTCTCTCCTCTCTCCTCTTTCCCCTCCCTCTCTCCTCTCTCCTCTTTCCCCCTTCCCCTACCCCTCTCTCCTTCTTTCCCTCTCTCCCTCTTTCCCTCCCCTCTCTCCTCTCCTCTCTTCCCCTACTCTCTCCCTTCCCCCCTCTCTCCCTCTTTCCCCCTACCCCTCTCTCCTTCTCTCCCTCTTTCCCCCTACCCCTCTCTCCTCTTTCCCCCTCCCTCTTTCCCCCTACCCCTCTCTCCCTCTCCCCTACCCTCTCTCCCTCTCTCCCTCTCCCCCTCCCCATCTCCCTCTTCCCCTACCCTCTCTCCCTCTTTCCCCCCCTACCCCTTCTCCCTCTCCCCCCCTACTCCTTCCCCCTCTCTCTCCCTCTTTCCCCCACCCCTCCTCTCTCCCCTTCTACCCCTCTCCCCTCCCCTACCCTCTCCCCCTCTCTCCCCTTCTCCCTCTCCCCCTACTCCCCCTCTCCCTCCCCCCCCTCTCTCCTGCTCACCTCTCTCCCCCTACCCCTCTCTCCCTCTTTCCCCACCCCTCTCTCCCTCACCCCCCTCCCCCTCTCCCTCTCTCCCTCTTTCCTCACCAATGCAAGAAAGACACTCACCGCACAGACCCTGATACGCCGGCGATGGGATGAGTCCGTCCCCCACACAGTAAGGCTGGCCCGGGAATCCCATCTTGTACATGGATCCACCGATGACGTTTCCTCTGCGGGGGAGACGAGAAAGGGGGGGTTGAGGTTGATGTGCTGGCTCTGTCGTGCTGTTTTTTGGTGTGGTTGGTTTGGTTTTTGTTTTGTTGTTTTTGTGTGGATTTTTTTGTTTTTTGGTTTGTTTTTTTCTGTCGATGATCTCTTTTTTTCGTTCTCTGTCTTTTTTTTTTTTTTCACTTTCTGTCTATCACTCTCGATCTCGCTCTCTCTCTCTCTCTCTCTCTCTCTCTCTCTCTCTCTCTCTCTCTCTCTCTCTCTCTCTCTCTCTCTCTCTCTCTCTCTCTCTCTATATATATATATAATATATATATTATAATATATCCTTCCCTCCCCTCCCTCTCTCCTTCCCCTCCTCTCCCTCCTCCCTTTCCAACTCCTTTTCCTGCTCCTTCTCCCTCTTCCTTTTCCACTTGTTCTCCCTCTTCCTTCTCTCCTCTCTCTTCCTCTTTTCTCCCTCTTCTTATCCCCTCCCTCCTCTATCTCTCTCTCTCCCTCTCCTTCTACATCTCTCTGTCCCTCTCTTTCTCCCCTTCTAACTCCCTCTCTCTCCCTATTTCTCCTTTATTATATTATTCCTCTCCTTCTCCCTGCTTCATACTCCTTATTTCTCCCTTTCTCTCTTCTCCATCTCCTTTCCGTCTCGTTCTCCCTCACCTTCTCCCTTCTCCCTCTTTTTCCCCCTTCCTTTTCTACCTCTCCCTTTTTCCCCTTCTCCCTCTCCTCCTTGTCTCTCTCCTTCCCCTACTCCCTCCTCTCTCTCCTTCTCTCCTTCTCTCTCTCTCCTCCCCTTCTCTCTCCTTCTCCTTCTCGTCTCTCTTCCCTTCCCCTTTCTCCCTCTCCATCTCCTCTCCTTCTCGCTCCTCTCTCTCCTTCCCCTTTCTCCCTCTCCTCTCCTCCTCTCTCGCTCCTTCCCTCTTTCCCCCTCTCCTTCTCGCTCCTCTCTCTCCTTCCCACTTCCCCCTTTCTCCTTCTCCCTCCCTCTCTTCTCCTTCCTCCCACTCTCTCCTCATTCCTCTCTTTATCCCCTCTCTCTCCTTCCCTCTCTCCCTCCTCTCTCTTTATCCCCCCCCCACATACCCTGGGCGTAGTTCAAGACGTAGATCTTGGTGTATCCGCGAGAAGGGTCCTTGTAGTAGGCGTACCCACAGCCCACCAGGTGTGTCTCAGCCCCAGACCATTCTATGCCCGGGACGCCCTTCACCCACGGAGGTAGGTTGGCGTGGCGAGTGGGCGGAGCGTGGCGGGTGGGCGTGGCGAGTGGGCTGGCGTGGCGGGCGGGGCGTGGCGAGTGGCGGAGCGTGGCGTGGCGAGTGGGCGGAGCATGGCGAGTAGGCGTTGTCGTATGGACGAGGTAAGGGGAGGGCGGGGATGTGTTTTGTGGGTGGGGGGAAGGAAAGGGGGGATAAAGGCAAAAGATTAGTTGAGTGAAATTTATTATATGTACACATCTGACACCTTTGAGTGTTACATCTTAAAATATCTATCAATCTATCAATCTTCCATGTTATATCTAAAGTTTTTTTTTTTTTTTTTTGACAAATCCAAGCATACAAAGTAAACTATACTTCATTCTGTCTTGCATTAATGACATCAAAATCTGTTTCGTTTTATTTCAAATCTCAACAATATGGAAAATATGTATATAAATGTGCAAAAAGGAAAATTGAATGAACTAGAAATAAACTCGTAATAAAAATGATTACACAAATATTCAAAACAATAAAGAATATGAATTCTTTTCCAAAAGGACACGAAAAAATAATATATTAATAAAAAAAAGTAACAAAAGGAGCCACAGAGGCAAAGAAAACTACAGGATAAAAGACATGCATGGAGAGAAATAAAAATGTCAATTGTCCTTCGTGCGGGTGTGTGTGTGTGTGTGGTGTGGTGTGTGTGTGTGTGTTGTGTGTGTGTGTGTGTGTGTTTTGTGTGTGTGTGTGTGTGTTTTCGTGTGTAGTGTGTGTGTGTGTGTTTTCGTGTTCTGATGTGTTTGTGGTGTGTGTGTGTGTGTGTGCGTGTGGTGTGGTGTGTGTGTGTGTGTGTGTGTGTGTGTGTGTGTGTGTGTGTGTGTGTGTGTGTGTGTGTGTGTGTGTGTGTGTGTGTGTGTGTGTGTGGTGTGTGTGTGTGTGTGTGTGTGTGTGTGTGTGTGTGTGTGTGTGTTTTCCGTGTGATGTGTGTGTGTGTGTGTGTGTGTGTGTGGTGTGTGTGTGTGTGTGTGAGTGTGTGTGTGTGTGTGTGTGTGTGTGTGTGATGAGAGAGAGAGAGAGAGAGAGAGAGAGAGAGAGAGAGAGAGAGAGAGAGAGAGAGAGAGAGAGAGAGAGAGAGATGATGAGAGAGAGAGAAGAGATAGACAGATAGATCACAGATATAGATTAGATAGATAGAGAGATACATAAAAGTATATATATATATATATATATATATATATATATATATATATGTATATATATATATATATATATATATATATATATATATATATATATATATATATATAATAGAAGAGAGAGAGAGAGGAGAGAGAGAGAGAGAGAGAGAGGAGAGAGAGAGAGAGAGAGGAGAGAGTGGGATATGGATATACTATATATATATATATATATATATATATATATATATTATATATATATATATATATATATATATATATATATATATATAGATATCAGAGAGAGAGAATGGAGAGAGAGAGAGAGAAAGAAGAAAAGCAGACAGACAGATGGATAGATAGTGTGTTATCACCGTGATGTCAGTGCTTCTAAGAAACTAGACAGATATGAAGAAACTCAAAATAAATAAAGCGATGGAAATATAGAAATAGAGAGATCGAAATACAGATAGAGATAGAGATAGATAGATAGATAGATAGAGAGATAGAGAGAGAGAGAGAGAGAGAGAGAGAGAGAGAGAGGAGAGAGAGAGAGAGAGAGAGAGAGAGAGAGAGAGAGAGAGAAAGAGAGAAGAGAGAGAAGAGAAAGAAGAGAGAGAGAAAGAGAGACGAGGAGACAGACAGACAGGACGCAGACAGAAACATACAGAACAGAGAGATCACAGAACAACGCAGAGCGACTGGCATAAGGAGAGGCCAGGGAAAGGATCTTAGGTCAGCCGAGTCTGGAGTCAGGTCAAACGAAGAAAAAACCCAGGAGGCAGATTCAGGACTTCCCCTCTGTCGTGTCGGCTTCCTCCGTCCTCCTACTTACCTCACCTGCTTTTTCGCTACCTACACATGCACCTGCTGTGTCAGACACCTGCCTGCTACTGGGTACAGATGGACCTACTGGGTGTGTTAGATATTTGTGTGCGAGCGAGAAGGATCTCAACAGAAGGAACGCTTTGGGAGGAGAGCAGGTCGACCGTCTCGCCTCCTCGCTCCAGACGTCAAGAGTGTACGTGTTTTTTCTTCTCTCTGTTTGTCTCTCTCTTCTTTGTTTGTCTCTTTTCATTATACATATTCATATTGTTATTATTATATAATTGTTATTATTATTATAATTATTATAACTATTTTGGCGAGACAAACTTTCGTTAATATGTGGTGATCTTGGTGAAACTTGTGATTTTTAATTTACTTATCTCTCTACTTATCTTTAAGTATGTCGTGTTTTATTAAAAGGAAAAGGACTAATCTTTCGAAAACAATAAGAATTCCATTGGCTAAAATCGCATACAAGAGGAAGATATTTAATTTACCATTCAAGCTTTTTTTTCTTTCACAGCAATTATTCTAAAACAAATACGAAACCTGAGACTAAGATTAGAGAGACATTAAAGACATGACTCAAATGGAGATAACGGTAATAGATGGCAATAGAGAAACAAGACAGAATATATTTGAACACGAAACTAAAAAGGGATGTGACTTCAGCAAGGTTACCGAGTTGACTTTTTTTAGATATTTTTTTTGAAAAGGTCTTCACTTTGTTGTATTTTTTTTCCCAATAAAAAAAAAAGAAAATACACCATTTTGTTGAAATAATGATGTTAATGAAGATGAGATTCTTATCGGTAAACAGATATTAAACTAATAAAGAAATAGTATTAACCTCTTGAAAAAAGATATATAATGATATACAAAAAAATTCATTTTAAACCAATACAAAAAATCATTTCAATAGGCATGCTTGTGGAGACAGACAAAAAACGAAGGATAAAGACAGGGCGAGAAGGGTCAGGGTAACGGAAGGAATAAAGAAGGGTTTATGATAATAAGGTTGGGACAGGGTGATAAAGAGGTGGGAAGGAGAGGGTTTTGACTGAATGTTTGCCAGAAGGGCAGAAGGAGAGGCTTGGTTGGCGGAAAGAAGAGAGGGATAGAGATAAGCCAAGAACGGAAGAGGAGAGAGAGGGGATCAGAAGGAGAGAGAGAGCAGAGAGACTGAGGAGAGAAGGAGGAGACTGAGAGAGAAGAGGAGAATCATACGGACCGGAGAGAGAGATGAGAGGGACGACGAGAGAGAGAGAGAGAGTAAAAAGAGAATAAATAGAAGATATTAGATAGAGACGGAGAGAGGAAGATTTAGAAAAACAACGGAGAGAAGCGAAAAGAGACGAGAGAGAGGTGAGAAGAGAGGAGAGAGGATAGAGATAAACCAGAAGGAGAGAGAGAGAGATGAGAGAGAGACGAGTAGAGGAGAAGAGAGAAGCGAGAGAGAGAGACGAGAGAGAGGCGAGAGAGAGAAGGAGAGGAAGAGAGAGACGCAGAGATCTGAAGAGCGAGAGAGAGAGAGAGGAGAGAGAGAAAGAGAGAGAGGGGGAAGAGAGGAGGACGGTGAAGACAGAGAAAAGAGATAGATAGATAGAAGATTAGGATAGATAGATAGATAGAGAGAGAGAGACGAGAGACGGAAGAGAGAGAGAGACGAGAGAGCAAGACCGAGAGAGATGAGAGAGGAGGAGGAGGAGAGAGAGAAGCGAGAGGGAGGAGAGAAGAGGAAGAATAGAAAATACAATCAGAGAGAAAGCAAGAAAGAGAGAGAGAGAGAGAGAGACGAAGAGAAAGAGAGAGAGAGAGAGAGAGAAGCGAGGAGAGAGGAGAGAGAGAGAGAGAGAGAGATGGAGAGAGAGAGAGAGAGGTAAATTAAAATAGACAATAGATAGGATAGATTAGATTAGATAGATAGAGAGAGAGAGATGAGAAGGAGAGAGGAGAGAGGAGAGAGAGAGAGAGAGAGAGAGAGAGAGAGAGAGAGAGAGAGGACGACAGAAGAAGGAGCAAACAGACAGAGTATAGATAAACACATACTCACAGACAAACAAAGAAAACAGACAGACAGCAGGCAGACAGACGAGGGCTAAGCAAAAAGGATAATTTTTCTCGGGGAAATCAGGAAAGGATATGTCATAGGAAAGAAAACGGAGGAAGGAATAACGAAGTGGATTTTTGGAATGAAAAATACTTAGAGAAAAAAATATGATATATCACTACGTAAATATAACTGCATCGTGTATCGACTTTGATTAATTAGGAGTGAATAATAGATATTTTTTTTAAGGAGTCAGAGAATTTATGTTTTTTTTCTCAAAAATTGAAGGATGTCTAAGTTTTTTTTTTTTTTTTTTTTTTTTTTAAATCTTTTGTCTTTGTCATTTTGAATTTATTTGATTGTTGTATCTTGTTGTATTTTTTTATTTGCTGTAATTCTGTGATTCCTTTGGTACACAACCCAGCGGGAATATTGTAGGAAAATATTTCAGGAAAATTATTACTCACTACACAGGATAAGAAGAAGGAATATATAAGGATAAGAAACTAAATTCTTAAAGATAAAGGAAGAAGATTTAAGAAAAGTAAGAATTGGAAGAGAAATGATAAATAAAAAAGAAGAAAGGGAAGAAGAAGCAGAAGAAGAAAAAGACAACGAGAAAAAAAATAATAAGAAAAAAAAAAAGAAAAACGAAAGAAAGAGAGAGAGAGAAAAAAATAAACACCAATCAAGCAATATCATCAATCCAATCTTTACTCCGATAACTCTTCTAACACCGAGAGAGATAGAGAATAAGAAGAAGAGAATACCCCGCTGGGTGTGAAGACGAATAGAGACGAATGGAGGAAACAAGAGATGACCGGATAATCAGCGCCCTACCTGCGAAAGGAGAGAGAAAAAAAAAATGTTATTAGTATTGTTGTCTGTATTGAGGGTGGGGTGGGGTGGGATGGGGGGTAAGGAGAGTGGGAGGGAGGAGAAACGGAGGGGGAAGAGAGAAGGAGGGAGGGAGGGGAAAGAGGGAGGAAAGAGGGGGAATAAAGAGGGGGAGAATGAGGGGAGGCTTGAGAGAGAGGAGGAGAGAGAAAGGGGAGAGGAGACAGAGAAGTAGAAGAGGGAAGAGGGTGGGGGTGAATGGAAGACGAGAGGGAGAGAGAGATGGGGGGAAGGAAGAGAGCGGGGCGGATGTAGGGAGGAAGGGAGAGAAGAGGGAGGGAAAAGAGGGCGGGAAGGAAAGAGGAAGGAAAGAGGGAGAGGTGGAAAAGGGAAAGAGAAGGGGTAAGGAAGATGAAAGGCAGAAAACACATGGATGGACAGACAGACGACTGAAAAAAAAAAGAGGAAAAAAAAACAACAGATAAAATCAATAAACCAAACGAGAAGGAGAGAAAACCAGAAAACAATAAGTAACTTCCTCTTGCCCTCCCTCCCCCCCTCTCGTATCTCGTTCTCTCTCTCTGCTCTCTCTCTTCTCCCCCACGCTCTCTCTGGCTCTCCTCTCTCTCTCTCGTTCTCCTCTCTCTCTCCCTATCTCCCCTCTCTCTCCCTCCCACCATTTCACTTTCTATCCCCCCCTCCTTCCCTCCCTCTCCTCCATATGCAATCGCGCATCAAATATGTATTGGCCTTCAAAACAAAGACATGGCTTTCATTGTTGCTGTCGCCCCCACCACAAGAATCAGCGATATAAAAGGACCATTCTTAAGAACACCACATCCTTATTGCGCTGCTGTCTGGCGTAGCATACCCAAGTCAGTGCCGTACAGGGAGTCACTGCATCACTGCCGGACGAATATATATATTTTTTTCGGGCATTGCACGGTGTCGCTGCAGTATTGTGTATCGTCGAGTCGAGATAGAGGTCGTATACTCTAATGAACTTGCTCGGTTTATATCCGAACTTGTTGATGCGGTTGAGCATACTTAAATCAAGAGACGAATTAGCAATGCTAAAGACTGGATTTTTATAATTCGCGTTTGACGAATCATTGACTTGACGCTGATTATCTTTCTTTCCAATGATGTGTGTATAAATTGATCCATGTAAAGTTTATCCAACGGTGTAATATTTTTTTTTTTGTAAATCCTTTTGAACAGCATTTTGGTAATGATCTAGGATAAAAGCGGTGAATTAAATACAAAAAAAAAAAAAAAAAACAATAATGATGAAAAAATTATTAAACAACAATGGATGAAAATACGAATATTAAAAAGGAAAAAAACAAAATAATAAAGATGATATCGAATTAAAAAATAGATTGAATACGTAAAAAAATATATAAACAACACTTAATCAAATTAAGATAAATAATTAAATTAAACATATATAAACAAAGATGCATAAAAAAAATAATAGATATTTTGAAAACGTCAATTCAACAGATCCAAAAGTTCACTTCAAGGGAAGAAATCAGCAGGACTCTTCACCTGCTGCCATCTAGCGGCGAGAAAAGTCGTCGGAGAATTTTCAGGGTTAGCAACCTGTGTGACGAGCGTGCGTGGCGCCCATGCTAGAGCGTGCGCTTTTTTCTCTGTGTGTCTTAGTTTATGTAGAGATAGGCTAAATGTAACTCTCTCCTCTCTCTCTCTCTCTCTCTCTCTCCTCTCTCTCTCTCTCTCTCTCTCTCTCTCTCTCTCTCTCTCTCTCCTCTCTCTCTTCATCTCTCCTCTCTT